GTGTAGAGCTTAAAAAGTTATTAGCATTTACGGACGGGTAAAATAAATGATCCCTTTTATTATGAATCTGTATTATTTTACATTCCCTAGATTAACTGACCTTTCAATGTAAATGTCATAAAGCTGTAAAAAAAAACACCTTTTTATTATAGTTCTCACAATGCCGGAAAGGGAACGCGGCTGTCCACTGAAAGGTCTTTCGCCTCTCAAAATACCTTGATTTATATTTCATTATATTTCACAGACGATGGCCCCCCGAGGCATTTTATTTGTTAAAGGGTCTATGCAAATCATAGCATGCCACATGCCAAAAAGTACCATGATTTGATCAAACGTTATTTATGCTTCAAAAACTGGATTCTGTAGAAAATATGGAAAAATCGGAACACTATATATTAAAGTGGAGCTTAGAGAATTAGTTTAAATACTGTCGAGGATGCCTTTAATGGAGTTCTAAAATGGTTTAAGACTTTTTTCATACATTAACATTCAATGATGCAATCAATCCTCGCTTTACACAAGCTTCACTGCACCACCTCATCAATACCGTCTCCACAGGGGTTTTAGTCTACACCTTTTTCTCGGAGTTACTGGGATGTGTCAATAAATTGATCCGTTTAATTTGTTTACAACCCTCATCAAATAGTGAAAAACGTTGTTGTGGCCTTTATTTTGACCTTGTGTAGCGGACATGGAAGGAACATCGACGTAAGCGTCATTGAAATGAAAGCAAGCAAAAGCCAAGTGCGAAGGAAATGCATTTATTATAAGCAATATAGAGCAATTTATTGTGTTTACCACGTCAAGGATCTAATGGGCTTTCATGCTTTTCACCATTGGAAACCATTAAAATATTCTAATAATTTGTAATGTCTTTCCTCTCCAGCACTTACACAGTTTAACATCTAAAATAAGCGTATCAATAACATGTGGCGTATATATAAACTGTAAAACGTTTAACATTGTTAAAGATCTTTTCCACGCAGTCACAATTACTTTGATGGCTTCATCACAAGAATAAACATGAGCTGCCAGTTGTTGGTATCTTCATTTTGTGAAGGATGCTGCAGAGCGCCGTAGCCAAGCCGAGGGAACATTTTAATGCTTTAACATCACAGAGACACAAGAAAAGCGGCATCCTCCAAATGCAACAACATGACACAACAGTTTCTTTACGTATCCAGTTTTAGGTAAATGTTTTCTATGCATTAAATCATCCGTGGTGTCAAAGTGGGCAGTGATGAAACATTTTACTCCAGAAGCTCAACTAAAATAAACAATACAAACAAATCCAGATTATCACAAAAGAAGATCCAACGCAAATAAAAGTTGTTATGGGAATGACATGTGTTGATTTGTCATTCTTTTTATAACTTTAATAGTTTAGCGTCACATATATTTACATTGAAGACAGATATTATATTCCTTGCTTTTTTTCCCCCACGGGACATGGCTTACTCTAAAATAATAAATAAACCATCACAAATACGGCATAAAACATTTAATGCAGAAAGACCAATAGCTACTTTTTAATCGTCCTGCGAGCTTTCAGCTAGTGATGAATAATGTTCTATGTCACTCGCTGTAGGCTGTACAGCCTCGAATGAAAATGTCTGGATATTAAGTGATTAAGTGCTTGTTCTTTAATGTTTAGGCTCTTCTCTCAGCTCAGCTAAATTTGCATTCCTCATTAGACCTCCTGACTCTCCAAGAAGATCTTAAAGCTTTCTAAAATTGATGCCAAAGTGTCTTGTGGGAAATGCATGTGAAATTCAAAGGATCTCTATTGAAACGTGCAAAATGTTAATATGGTTTCTGAATCATTCATCATTGGTAAGTTATCGCGCCGGTTCCTCTATCCTGGCAGAAAGGACAAAACCCACTAAAAAAAGTCCACCGTTGAGCTCGGAATGAAATCTTACGGCCGACAATCACTGGCATTTTGTGTACTGTGCATTCCTGGGCAGCCAATGGCGGTGCTCAAAAGCCGTCCTGCAGGGGAAAGTCCAGTCAGCAGAAGAGAGGATGAGGGTGGAGGCCTCCACGAGAAGGGTGTGTCCATCTCCACTAGAAGGGTGTGTCCATCTGGCTGCATTTTGCAGCGGGTGACACCACAGCGTAGCTCCGTTCCTGCCACCTCAGCCATTGCTTGTGGACCTCTTTCTGGACCTGTCAAACACACACACACACACACACAATATGAAAGCAAGAAAGATGATACCATATTTATTTATTATACAACACTGTGATAAAAATAAGATAGTTTTGGGACGATGGTTTCACACTCATATCTCTCTGTTCCGTGTGAGGCTACAGCCAGCAGTTTGTTAGCTTGGTTTATGAATGCGAAACGTCAGATTAAAATGCATAGTTCAAAGGACCAGTTATGTTTGAACTCCATCAGGTAGCCTGTGAAAGCTCCAAAGTGGGTGGTGTTACATTACATAACGTTACATCTGAATTCACGAAGGCGAGCAGTAAAGGGTGATGGGAAGCCAGTTGGTTTCGGTTATTACGACTGACAAAGACACCACACATTTACAGCTCAGTGTATTTTTCTCTCCTATTAGTGCCGTTTTATGTTTTATTTAACTTTTATTTGGTCCTTAGAATTTATTTTAACAATCGAAAGTGTTGGGTTACAAAAGAAAACAGGCTTGGTTCAACGGTGACTAAATCCGCCCACCAGCATCACTAGACTGTATAAAGTGTGAATGACAAAGGCAACTATAGATGTCTTTACACTTTGAGGTTTGAATGGATTCTAATGCATTCATAGCCAGGCTGTTTCCAGGCTTTACACTAACTGGATGATCATTGTGCCTGAATTTAAATGCAAACACATGTAATTTGTATCTGTTCATGCAACGTTATACGAAAGACGAACCTCCATGAACTCACAAACTATTTATTTATTCTTCAATACAACTTTAGCATTAAAGTCAGCATTCAGTTCATCTTCCGTCACAGCAGCATTTTATTGGATACTCAGCAATCTAGTATATTTGATATTTGGTATCCTACATTTTTATGAAGAATATCAATCTCATGTGGCATCAGAATATTAATTACGAGTAAAGCCCTGCTGTATTCTTTATTTTTTTTTAAATCTACAAGAGGCTGTATATGTAAATTGAATGAGCTAATCCATTAGTGAGGATTGAGTGACTTCCAAGTACCCATGATGCCCTGAAACACATCAAGTGATGAGCATGGACGTGGAGTCATTGTGGGCCGAATACTAAACATGCGCTGTGTCGCGTGGCGAAGCCCTCGTATTGATCTTGCTGGTTGCATCAGGGCTCGTGGTCCATCCCTTGTGCAATGAGGGAAGAGAGGTGCGAATTATTGTGCTTTGACAATAAGCCTCGGCGATTGTGAACCACTAAACGCTCACCGGTGTGTGATCTGGGTGCAAAACGGAGCTGTAAACGATCTGAGTGCTTTGTTGAATGTGTCGTTGTAAATGTTTGAGAGTTCTGTGGCTCGTGCTTACCTCTTGATTGAGGAAGCAATACAGAATCGCTACGAGGAGCCCCTGCAAGAGAGATGTATAATCATTATACATATAGGAATATGTACTAACAGACTCTCATCCCCCCCCCAAAACAAACAAATGTTTGTGTCTCACCATTGAACACAATACATATTGTTTACAAATTAGATTGGAAGGCTACACGATAGCAGAGGGCAATATTTCTCCATTGTAATGTGACAGTTACTGCACACATCAAAGAAAAACCCTGCAAAGCATTTCTTCAGGGGAAGCTACTACAGTCAGTATTTGTCCAGGTGTACAATGTGTCCGTGTACCTGGAAGGATCCGACGCACAGCTCGACGCAGAGGCGCAGGTTCACATTGAAGTGGTCAGGCAGAAAATTGAAGACCATGTAATGAGTACCGAACAAAGGGACGAGGAGGAGGGTGGACTTAGTCAGGCGTCTGTCGCACAGAAGGAGAGAGCGGCGATGAAGGAGGTAAGGCCACCGCACGGAGTCATTAAGAGCACGCAGCGTCTAGATAACCCTCCTAATAGCATCGTGCATGCAAGCACTCACATCGGAAGGCAATCTAGAGGATGCTTGCGTGTGTGTGTGTGTGTGTGTGCAACGTTTTGTTGAAGGGTGACTGACTATATTACACTTGTCGGCTGTTATGCAGCAAAATGTTTCACACGACTCGCATCTTTCACCGCATCAAAGGGTCTACTTATCACTATCAAACACAGTGAAAACACATTTCAAAATGCAACCATCAGGATAATTAAAGCCACTCTGATGCAACTTTGAAAAGTCGAGACTGTGTTAAGAAATCCGATAAAAGCCAGCGTTGCTGTAATGACTAAAGAAGGAGAAAGATTGTCACTGTCACCGGTACTGAGAGGAGTTATTGAAGTGGATCAGACGAGGGTTGAGCTTCTGTATCAGGATTCGGATGATGTTCATGAAGAGAATGAAATTGACCTGTAAATTGAAAAATCAAATGTCAAATTCAGGCTTGAATACGATGACGACTAGGCTGGTATTTGTAGTCATGGCAGCGGTGTGGACAGCCAAGTGGGTAATTGACTAGGACAGGTGTGAGGGCAGCTTTTGACAGTCTATCCAAGCATGCACAAAAGATGTTTCAAAAATTCATCCAAAACCATCTCTAAATCGAAAGTAAACAAAAACATCTGCATGATAATCTGCCAGGTGCATGATTAAAAGTTTTGTTTCCACCAGCACAACGGGAGTATTTACCGCAATAGACACAACAATCGGTCCCTTGATGATCCACCAATAGGGTGAGTCCTCGTTAATGTCCCAGCATCTGCGCAGGAAGACAACTTTAAAACGCACTCTTTGGATCCATCTGGAGAATTGATTAAAAGGGTTGATGTACAATGACTCCAACTGACTGGACGATATATAAAGAATCAACTCATACCAGCACATAGTAACAAAGTACAATGTGAGGGAAATGTCCAAACAAATAGTTTAAAAGTGCCTCGCCTTCCCTCTAAAGGGTTTGTCTGTGCATTGTGCTGTAAATATACATGTAGGAAATAACTGCGCTGCGTGGAGAAGTGGTATTGTAAGTTTATACAAACTCTGTGTCCTCAAAATACATCCTGGATCCAATCCACAGGATGGTGAAGAACACAGGTACCCCTGTGGAAAGGCAAAAAACAGCAAAACAAATGTCCGTGAAATGCAATCAATACACGCTGAGTTGGCGGGATCCTAAATAGACACTCATCATTGTGTGAACGTGAAACTTTTCTCTGTATTGTTCTGTAAATCGAACATTTGTTTTTTGGCTTCATGCAACACACGTCTGCAACACCAATTTCCTGGCTGACCACCGCTGGGACAAATGCTTGTATATTCATCAAGCTCGTGGCGAGTTGAAAGGAAACACAATCAAACCCACAAACATAATCAAATACGTTAGTAGGGTTCGCCACAGGGATACAAACATTTATTCCGTTGGTTCGGTAAATACAGCTGACGCCGGCGAGCCGGCAGAATTTCTGCCCGTTTTGAGATATTAACTCGGGGACGGGGATCTGTCGAGTTGTTGTCGTCCCTAAAGGCAGCTGTGAATCTCCTTTGAATCATCTTCACGCCCAGTTGGCATGATGTTGATGAGAACGGTAGGTGTGATATATTATACACTATGTTTGTTATTTAATATTTAGAAGTAATTGAATGTACAAACTTTCAATTCTCCAGTGAGTGACACGTTGGAGACCTAAACTGCTGATGTGACTTAGAATAGAAAGCAATTATGGACTAAATTCAATTCAGTGCGCTGGACTCGTTGGCTGATTGAAAAATAAAGAAATCTGTTTGGTGAATTGAAATTGAAAGCAGCAACAGAAGGTGAAGAGTTTACAAAAAATAACTCGTTCAATTCCAAAGCAGGTGCAAGTCATCGACTAAACACATAAGTAGACAGTGAGAAAAGTTTCCACTCCAAGAAAACCCAACGTCTTATGTTCAATCTAATAAAAAAACATATTTCCCAAGATAAAAATGCAGATATTCATTATGTGCATAATATATTAGCTGCAGAATAGACAGCAGTGCCTCGACTCACACAAAACAATGTGGTTTTGCATCAGGCGCTTCGCATTGTTAACTGTTATCTCGTTTATTTTTCTCTCAACATATCAATCATCCGGTCTTTTTGAGTTCTCTCTGTTTTTGTTATCCTTGCATATATCACCCACATAGTGCCCCTCTTTGTGTTTCTGGGTGTCGCGGCATCACGAGGTTGGAGCTTAGCATAACAGATGTGAAATGAAATTGCATGTCAAGATCTCTCACCCCATCCGAGCAGACAGAAGCCCCAGAGGCATCGAGGACTGTGATAAAAGGACGAAAGCAGCAAGGAATTGAGGTAAAGCGCCTCCACCAGGAGCCAGAAGAAATTGGACATTACACAGTAGTGACAGAAGACCACAGAGGCCTTACAGGCAAACTGGACGGAAAGAAAAGCAGAAAGGAACAGAGGGACATATAGGGTGAACTGCAAGGGGGGGGGGAGGAAAAATGCACAGTCGAGAGTCACGAGAGACACGAGGAACCTGCTCAGTACAAATGTCTCTGGTTCCTACCGTGGAAAGGGTGCAGTGGTTGGTGTCATCACTCGAGAACAGAGTCGCATCCTTTATGAACACGGCTGCAGCCTTTAGGATGAACGTGACAAAAAGCTGGATGTGGATGAAGTTCCTGGCACAACGCAGCCTCCTGTCGAAAGACGAGGCCAGCGACAGTGCAGACGTTCAAAATATGTCACGACATCACGAGGACACATCGTCACACCGTATTGTTACAGCCTAAACCAATACACCTATAATGTTTAAGCGTGCCTGGTTAACGATAGGCAGCTGACGCACAGAATCTCGACCGTTCCTTAAATCCAGCGAAGCACGGCGCTGAGCAATGAGGAGGGGAGAGGACCGGGGGATGAGGGGGCTTATAGCACCTGTTGACCCGTGTCAATGAGAGTCAACCCAAGACAGAACAAATTGCGACTGAGGGGCGCTGCGCAGATAAACCTCTTCTTACAGCAGCTTCGCTCCTCTTCCTTAAAGAAGTGCAACACATATGCGCTTATTTGCTTTCTGGAGTTGGATGAAAAGGCTGGTTTCCTTTCTGTCACATAAATAATTTATGTATGCAAATATAAGTTGCCGTTTTTACATTTCCATCTGGGTACATGCTAAACAACATATGTTTATGAGTAAACCTTGGGGGTGTTGGCTTTATTCTTTTGGCAGGGCCAGGCTGGATGCTTCCTTCAACGTGCTTCAGCTACTTACCCTAAACGTGCCGGAGCATTGAATAAACTACACTGCGAGATCATTTGAAATTTGTCAAAGCTAAAAACCCCAAAAAGGCTGCAATGCAGAGCAGAGAGTGTCAGGCATCATTGAGGGTGACTTGATCCAATCTTTTTATGTGCGTATCAACAGGATCGTATTGTCGCCGTAATGATGTGATCACTACCCTAGACGGACGAGCCTTACCGAAATGTACTGGTTAGTGATGGAAAACTCTGCCTGACTTCTCTCTGGAAAACTACCGCCTATTTTAGGGTCATCTAATCTTACCTGAAGAGCAACAGAATCATCACAGCCACAGCCAGCACCACCAGAGAGATGCTGTAGCCGACGGTGTATATCAGCTTCACCGTGGCGAAGTAGGACCGCTGCGTCTGGAAGGCAAACAAAAAGGAAGGGGTTGTTTAAAAGGATGTTCTTCTCCTGTGTTGAGGCTTTTAAAAATGCATTTAAATTACACTAAATTGCAGAGAAGCCCAGCTGTCCTAAAGAGACAAAGGCAGCATTACAGAAAAATGAGTCAAATGGCGCAATGACTGGACAAAGCTGACTGCTGAATCATCTCACAGAAGTACATTCAAAGCCTCTGTAATTTGTGACTTTCCACCCAGCTATTAGAAAACATAAATGTTTTTTTTTAAACTAAGGACAAAAGATATTTTGCACCAGATGGGATTTTCTGATAATCATCCTGCAAAAACACAGTCTTTGTGAAACGAGATAATTTCAACTCCTTGCAAAAGTACATAACATATGAGGCCCATTTATACTTATCATTTTCTACTCTTGAAAGGCAACGAGCCAGGAAGCATATATATTTAAAAGTTATAGGGCGGTTGTTTCTTTTCATTACAATTGACCGGCTGCTCTAACATTTTCATTGTAACACGGTACATTTTTCTTTTCTAATTTAGCTTGTTTGGTCTGTTCATTAGGCTTCAATTCTCCCCAATTCAATTTGTGATTTTCCCGTTGGTTGTTTTATCTCCTGTCTCTTTGTCCCCCTGTTCTCCAGCCGGACCCCTTTAACCGCCCTCTCACCTCTGGTATGTCATCGTCCACACTGCAGGCGATGTGATACGGCGGGAAAGGTCCGGACCAACCTTCTCTGGTGCAGTTACGGCTCACTGAACCTGAGGTGAAAGGTCAAGATGTAAAAGACAAATCTTCAAAATAGATTCAAACTTCTCGAGACAAAGAACTCAAAATTTGGTGTTTTAGTGTACCTAAATCCATCCTACCTTACAATAGTAGTTTTATTTAGACACTGTTCTGATGACAGATGTCACGGTACTTTCATTTAGTTAGGGTCCCATCGTGTGCCCACTTCACCACAGGTTGATATCGTTGATTTGGGGTCTTAATGAAATGTTTGTCCTTTTTACCCTGTCTGAAACTGGCCCCTCCACAGTGACCTGTTTTGAGTGCCTGTCCCTTTAAATGCTAATGAGCCAGATAAGAAACACCAATTGCTTTTATCAGCGCTGCGCTAAATATACCTTTGAATTGCTCTCGTCATTATCTAACGGCTAAACCTCCTCCTTCCACGACGTGATGCTTCACCTGTGTTGTTTCTGAAGAAGGAGAAGAAGTCCGGACAAGATCTTTGGACGGTTTCCCCGACGGCCGCCTGAGGCCAGCAGGCCACTGCGTCCCAGAACGGCCGACAACCTGTTTTGTAAAGGAAGGTTAAAGAAGAAGGCGGGTTTGAGTCTCTTGGGGGGGGGGGCAGTTAATCAGAAGAACACACATTTGTATGCAGTGTCGCCACTCAGAATTAACACAGTTTAACACGGTGCTGATGGAGACACAGCGGAGGAAAATGGGGTCATGCACAACACGCCCGACGACATCCCTCAATTCCACACCACCCGCCTCTGCGTGAATTACAATCCCAAATGAATGAGGAAGCGCACCTTTATCTTGACACACATTACAAACATAACAATTTTATGTAACTGTCCTCAAGGGTTTTTTCCAACAATGCATCCCAGTGACGGATTCATTCTGCACTTGGGACAACTTGTGATTCTCTGTGAAGCATTTGTTACAGCTTACACTCTCCTACTTAATGTGAAAATGTGCAATACATTTCACATCACAAGTCCAGCCACGCACGGATCTCAATGTGAGCTCTTGCCGCAGAGTGATTTTGAAAATGGAAACCACACCTTCTGTGCTACTGTTGCTCTGCTCTGTGATGTGCCGAAGGCAGCTGCGCTCCTCCTTCTCCAGCTGGAAAACAATCTCACACTCAGGATGCAGGCTGGACAAAGCCTAGGGGTAGGAAGGGGGCGGAGGAAAGGAAGGTATGCTTAGATATACATACTGACATGCAAGCTGAGGACGCAGCGGCCAAACTCGTATAGTTCAGTGAAAAGCGTTTCATGGCATGCACACGTGAATCTCTAAAGGGCACCGAGCAATTTCGCCTTCAGCGCGAAGATTTTTCCCTCTAAAGCGGTAACCTTTCAGTCTATATGCGTCAGTGGCATTAGGCAAAATGGTCCTCCAGCATAGCTTACAGAGAGCGGGGAAGCGCAGCCGATTCAGTCTGTCCCCAGGATGCAGACACCACCTTGGCCTCCGACAACTGTGCGCCCTGTTCATTTGGTGGCGCTCAGAGGTCCCTCTGTAATTCTGCCCCTGCCGATCCTTTTGTTTACGCCAAACACAAACAGCCTGACATCGATCTGGATCTCCGGCGATTATGAGTTGCTCGTTTCTGGGAGAGAAGACGAGGATGATGGAGCGTGACGCGGGGAAGAGGAAGATAGAGGAGCAGAAGTGTGCACCAAAAAAAGCTCGAGAGCTGCTCGTAAAAGAAAAACCTCAGCGGCGCAACAGTTCATAAGTACCGTGTTTACAACTAATAAATGTCAAGAGCTCTCACTCAGCACTGCCCTTCCTTGGGTCCTCAGCAGTGCACCCGCCAAGTGTGGACTAGATTGGATGAACAATTATCAATTCAAAAGACACATTCCTTGGATTATAGTTAGATATGAATCCGACGTTTGCCAGATGTTTTAGAGCAGGAAGGAGGACCGTGTTTTGATTGTTGTGGGGAGAGAGAGAGGCATTACTTCCTACGGTTTTGAAGGGCAGTGGGGATAAATATATGCAGCTTGAGTCAGAATAGGTCATGTTCATTAGTGGTGAGAGGTTCCCAGTATGCCAAAGAAAGGAAAGGCCACATAACAACTCAACGGGGATAATCTAAACGTAAACAGTGTAATTTCCCTGCGCTGAATGAGCAATCTGGTGGTCGTACTGTGAGTTGAGTTTATTGTGTACATGGGCTCAAAGTGACTGGGTCAAATTAAAGCATCATTTAATTTGACCTGATGCTGCTGGTAATTTTAGCTGGTCTTGAATGTAAAGGTCAGAGCAGCAGGCTTGCACAGCCTGACAACGTGAGCTTCTCGTTGAAATCCTTCCATGGTGTTTCTACTGACAGCGTGAGTCTCTTTACCCCGGTTTAAATTACTCCCACATAACGCAACATAAAAAATCAGCTTTCATTCTGACGAGATTCTGCAACCGAGATTTCTGATTATTGACGGGATGAGAAATGCTCGCACGTTATAAAACGTGTATTTATGTGATTTGTGCTTGCAAATTATCGTTAGACTTTGGGAATTGACTTGCAAAGGAAACATACCAATTTGATTTAAATTACGCACCCATTCTGGTGCAGAATTTATCACGAAAAAAAAAAATCATCTCAATCTCTAGTCTTCCAGTCGCGTGCGGATTGAATAAATCATCATCTATGGTAGTTTTTCTACATGTAAGGAACATTTCATTTGAAAGTCATGAAATCACATCTGTGTGTTGTGCAAGACACAAGTCACTTATTGGCAGATATGGAATCACGATGCTCAACCATTTCCAAAATGTCTAAATTCTTACTATTTAGTTTTTCCTTTGCTGACCAATTTTGAGACTTCCATTTTGGTATAAAAGAAAAAAAGATGAATCGCATAAGACAACACAGCGGGCTGCAGATGAAGCCATCTGTTTTTGAAGGGCACATTGCAGAGACGTTTCTGTTGCATTCAGCTTCGCTCCGGGGTCATTTTGAAACACTTGATGGAATTCGTAAAGAAGAAGCTTCCAGAGACTTAATTCTTCCGGGACCACAAACACGAGTGCCCACTCGAAAAGCCATCTGAATGCCATCCAATGGAATGCGCCCGGTGTGTGTTATGAACATTTCCATTAAAAGGATCTGTGACTTTAGACTGTGGGTGAAACAGCAACATCTGCAAACCCACCTGGAGCCGGTTCATGAAATGACATGACTGAATACGCCCTGCACTGGTGTGGCTTTTTATTATTATAATGTTGTGCATGTGATTTAAACTGTGAGGGTACACTGTTACCGAAAAAAAAACTAACCCGCTCAGGAACCGAAGGCAGAGCGTGAAGAGGGTGTTTGTCCAAAACGTACACAAATTTTGGACGTTAAATGAAAAGAAGTTGATTGTGAGTTTTAAATATAGATTTAAACATAATCATTTCTTTGATGCGTCGATTAATATCTCCACATGTCGCATATGGATATATGCGCCTCTGACAATAAACTGTACTGGAGTTTCACATTAAAGGCAATGCCGAATTCAATCATGCTGTGAGGAACGTTTTTGTGCAGTGACTTGGTCGCTGATGATTTTGTCTGACTTGCCGCAGAATAAGATCAGGTGGCACCGATGGCAAGCATTGAAGATAACTCTGTGGAATTAGCCAATCTTCTTGCTGGTGGTGTTTATGTCATGAAGTCAGTATTAAATCGCTCTAAATAAATCAGAACATACAATCTCTCATCAACCGTCTCCTTCTCCATCAATGAAGAACACAGGTGTCAGAAGAAACCCGAGCACATCACTGCCAATCCTTTTCAGTTCCCTATGCAATGCCAACAATTTAATGAGGGCTGTCGTTGCGCAATTTAAGAAGCAATTACTGCGCCGCCTGTTCAAAGGAAGGCGAGGGACCCGCGGAAAAACCTGTTTATCTTGGCTCATGCAGAGGTACCGGCGTCTTGCAGCATGTGTGCTTCAAGGAGGGACATGTATACAGATGTAAAGGCATTTGGTTTTCTGCTAAATTCTGGCAGTGTTAATACAAAACAAAATTGTTTGAGCAAGCATGAGATTCCTTCAAAGCAGAAAACACTTATGCATGCATTGTTAACATCAGCTAAACGTCGGACATGTGCGTGACACGGGGCTTGTCCCTGCACAGTATGCTGTGAAGACGCCCTGTTTGAAGACCCGGTTGGCAGTTTAGAGCCACGCTTTCAGTAGCAGGAACAAAGCAAGATGGCTGATGACGCGGTCGTGCATTTTAAGTGTGATGAAGGAAGACACCGATGTGCATTTAAGAAGCCGGACAAAAGGGGGAAAGTGTGGGGCTGCATAACCTCAGTCTGGCTGCTACGAGCCATGAGAGTAAATGCGAACCCACAGAGCCCTTCACACGGGCAGCCTAGAGTGCAGTCTGCTGTAAAATATGCTCTCTGAGAGGTGAAGCCCATTATCCACTAACCCAAAAGTGTCCATCAAACTCGGCTCACCTTGCAGATATTGCCTTATTTTTGGCAGCACCTGCAGGCTGGTTTCTGTGGTGACATTTTGACTCAATCCGATAATACAAAGAGCTCAGAGAGACAGATTATGATGATTGGGGTTCGTGCGAGATGAGAAGGTGGGTACTATTGTCGTCTATGAAGCTTGAACTGGGAACTGGTTAGCTTAGCTTAGCACGAAGACTGGGAACAGAGAAGCAGCTAGCCTGACTTTGTCCAAAGCTCAACTAAATCACTCTAATCAGCAAATTCTGAAAACTTTTTTTGAAGTGGGGTTTCTGCCAAAATATTTCTTGGCCAAACACTAACTTTTAAATTAGCGAGCTGTTTCCTATGCTAAGCTAAGCAGCTGCTGAATGTAACGTTAGCGTAACAGACCCGTATTTTTTTTAATGTCAAATACTTTTTTAACTGAAAAATAGTATAATAATGTTTTGGCTACTTCCGGTGTAGTTTTAAAGCGATGACAACTTTCATCTTCTCTCTCTTCTTCTTCTTCCTTGTTTGCAGGGACTGTTTTCTTTTAGAATGTGTAATTGTGTGTGTTTATGGAACCATTTCATTACAATTATCTGCGGTTGTGAGCATTGGTAGAGAAAAGCCTGAAGTGGAACGTGGTGATGAGTGTCTGCCCTGTTCTCATTGTCTCCCTGTCACGCTGATCATCATACCACCTGTTTGTCGGCTTCTCATATTTCTATTCCATTATGGAAATTACGAGGTGGCTGTGAAATTATAACCTTATAAAAAAAAAAGAAAAAAAAAAGAATGCTGCCGGCGCATGAACGTGCAGATTGTGTGTGTGTGGTAATACAACAACAAGTCAAACATAACTAACATTTCTATTGCTAACATCCCATCCGACGAGCAAATACTTTTGAATGTTACTGCAAGAGAATCTAATGTTACTGTTAGAGAATCTTTATATTTGAATGCCCAAAAACAATGTACGATGTCTAAACACACTACTTGCATTTCAACTGTACCTGCACTTGTATCATATGTTTTGTCTTTTTTGAATAATAACATTTTTTATTCTGGGCAGGTTTGTGTGTTCTAATTCAACACACATTTTATTCGGGTTTTATTTGCTAATTAAAACAGCAAACTGTGAGAAAGAGAAATATTTACATTAGAATCTATACATTAGTACAATATGTATTGTTAATGATTTAAAGCTCTTGTTTTGTCCACATCTAAGACTAAAATATATTCAGTTTATTACATAAAGAGACAAACAAAAGAAATAAATCATCAGATTTTGTGCCAAGAAGCTAAACCCAGTGAATCTAGGGCACATTACCACAGATATTAATAGATTTAAAATATAGAAACAGATTTTAATTTAGTATGAAATATATTTTACAGGCAACAATTGTAATGTTTATTCACTATAATGTTATACCGTGAAGAATCAAACGCCATCAAGTTCCTGCAGACAAATTCAGTCTGGTCACCACGCACAACACCAAGCGTACGCACACCACCACCCGTACGCACAGCACCACCCAGACGCACACCACCACCCGTACGCACAGCACCACCCAGACGCACACCACCACCCAGACGCACACCACCACCCGTACGCACAGCACCACCCAGACGCACGCACCCAAAAAGGCTTGTTTCTATTAAAGATAATTGAACACCACACATCATTAATATGTTCAATAAACTGCAAGTCTTTAGACATAAGCAAACACGAGAGAAATATTCTCAAATAGTTTACGGTCTTTATTCTGTCATAAATCATTCGCAATGTTTCGGTATAAAAACAAAAATGTCCTACAAAAGAGAGCTTGAAGTTTTCTACGTAGCAAAAATAACAATTACTGTTTTTTCTTCATAAAGGTAAAATCCGAGTAAATCACTCACAGTTGAAGACAAATACATAGTGAGAAGAATCCCTCTGATGTGGAGAGCGGACATGTCGTCGGTTCCCCGGTTCCGACCAACGTGGCGCGTTCATCAATGAGACTGCACACACGCACACACACACAGACACACACACACACGCTCCTATAGAGACTGGATGCGAAGAGCGTCTCAGTGCCCAGGTGTAAAACATCTGTCAAGCTCACAGAGATCAAAACGTAGCGGTGTCCTGCGAACGCTTTCAGAATAAAACACCCACATACAAACCGTCCGTCGGAAATGGCTCTAAAAATAATAATACATTTCTTTTGTTGATTCCTGATATTTTTTGCAAAGAACTGCCTCTAATTCTGCGATAACGGATGGAAGTCCGATTAATCAGAGCGTTTCCAGTTCGTGAAGGGACACGTTCCACTTTTATTTTGAAGGCAAACGGTAGAGCTCCTAAATTAACCCAAAAGCTGTACAGCTGCTGCTGGGATGATGTTTGGTGGATACTTGGTGAATATTTCTCTGCTTTCCTGAGCCTGGTGGTGTCGCAACGCGCGCACACACTCACCAGTTGTTCTTGTATCATGTTGCACCAAAACATCAGACAGAGAGAAAAGATACATGAGATGTGAGTCGCAGACCACGGACTGATGGGGACTATGACATCATTTTTTTAAATGTTCATTTGTGTAGAACACTGTTTAAGATTTTTTTCACATAAAATAACAACTCCCCTCTACATCGCTTCTGATGTATGTTTAGATGTTTTTTTTAGAAGAGAAGTTCTGGGCGTTGCCGTCTTTGTTTTCGTCATGTTCTACAATGATTGAAGCAGCACACACAGGTTTGTTAATCTGGTTTCTGTCGCTCCAAGCTGTCAAACACACATCAGCGGATGTCGACAGGCGTCCTCACTCTCACCTTTTATTGATGTTCACCTGTCGTTTGACATATCGATTACCAGTTACACTCACGCCTCGTAGCGAGGATTTGTGCACAATATGTTCCTTAAAAATGAATATATAGAGCCTTTGCATAGACTTTCAATTTACGCCCATCAAAAATATAGTGTAAAGAGATCTCAGTGAAAGCAGCAGAAACACAAAGCCCTTTCCTTCATTAGTGTACGCTTGTGCCCAAAAAGTGAGCGAGCCCGTTTCTCCCCGTTGCTTTGCTATAAACGACCAAGAGCACACAGAATCCCCTCTGGATGACAGATCACAAAAGGACCCCAGGGATTCAAATGAAATCCAAACTGAAACAGTAATTAAGGTTTTACAGAAGAGCACAACTTTGTGCGGATAACAGGAGTAAAATAAACAGATATGAAAGAAAAATAAATCGCTGGCATCAGAGTAAAAAGGCACTTTGACGAGTACTGTAGCTCATACACTGACAGTCACCAGCGTACTTAAAGTGAAGGTGATTGTAGCGACACAAGTGCGTCTGTGTAAGAACACGCAGTCTGCTTCCTGAGGTCCTGTGACCAAATGGAGAAAGACGGTTTGTGTTCCGACACAGAAAGCGAGATGCCAGTTTTTGTTTTTCTGGGTGTTTTTTCTCCAAAAGACATGAAAATTGGACACACTTCCATCGAAGGACAATTGTATGTGCCACTCCTGAGATTTGTACAAAATGCATATGCTTTGTGAACAAACAGAAACTGTAGTTTTCCTTCCCGCACTGGCAAAGTGCAAACATAGTGTTCAGACAAGTTGATTAATAAACAAGCCAGCAGCAGAACCACTTTGAAAGCTTTGACTTAAAAGATTGCACATCAACTGACCACGATTCTGTAAATTTTTAAAATCTTTCCCGGGTCTACGTAGACTTCCTTTGCAAATAAATAGTTTATCCTATTTCATACTTCTAGTGTTACTGGCAGGGCTGTTCATTCCCCAACGTAAGAGCGTATTTGGGATAAAGAGAGGCAAACGATTTCTTAAACTTAACAACCTACTAATCTTAACACACGTAAACTAAAAGTACTTGGTTTATATTTCTAAAACACGATAAAGCTGAACTGTTGTTAAAACATAAGGACGCCTCAAAACAGTGACACCAAAGACTTAAATAGTACAGGATCCTTAAAATACAAAAAACAACAACTAAAAACAGGTTTGGGGAATAAAAGAGGAAAAAAGTCAAATTAATTTGAAACAGTCGGAGAATTTGCCATTTTTTTCAGGGTCCGTTCAGCCGCCACAGTGACGTCATCAGGGAAGGTCGCTTCCATCATAGATTATGGGCCTCTCCATGGTCAGATGGTAGAGGACTTTCTTGGAGATAAACCTGTTGGAAAAGAGTGTTTCATCAAAAGAATCCAATCCAACCGAAAACGCGACAACAGAAATATGGTTCGTAGGCTGAAAAAACTCACACACACACACACACACACACACACACAGTGGAAGGATTAGGTTTGCGAAGATATCACAAGTTAGAACACTTCTATAATCCTGGAGCTTCTCCCACTGAGCCGGAAGTATCACAACAAGGATGTCAGGAGCTCCGTACCGCGAGAAGGAGTTGTCAAAGATGAGTGTGTAGAGGCCGGGGTGGCGGACTTTCAGCTGTCCCTGAACCGTTTCTTTATGGGAGTTGCAGCGAGTCAGAGGAATCAGCACCTGGAAGGAGAACAGACGCGTGGAGATAAACTCAACGTACTCGCTAAAGATTCTGCTCCAGGTCGTCTAGCACGTCTCCACCACACCATTAGTTCTTCAAAAAGCTCTTCTACCTTCGAATGCTCCACATGAGAGTCAGCGGATTCCCTGTAAACGACGCTGAAGGAGATGCTCTTAGGCTCCGAGGAAAACGTCCAGCTGATGGTCGGCCCGCGGTCGCCCACGGCAACCGTTATCACACTGTAGCAGCTGGACTTGATGAAGATTTCCCTGGAACCTTCGCCGAACTTGGAAATATCTTCGATGCTGAGAGGGACGTCCATCCTGCAGGCAGGACACATGGATTTCAAGAGTTGAGCATGAGCTGACTCGTCACATCGAAGGGTTCATCTGGTAGTTTTTTTTCCCCACGTCTTGTGACAAAGTGACTCATTTTTTAAAACTGTTGCAGCCTCGAGGGTGAACGCTAAGGAAAGCAAACGGACAGCGGCCTCTTTGTGGAATGTCGCTGTGCACCCAAGTTGTTTGAATCAGGTAAATATTCAGCAAAAACACTGAGGTTTTAACGGCTGTTGACCAGTTTTAGAGAATTGTTGTCTCCATTTATTTATTTTTTCTGCACCAAAAACAACTCACGTGAGGTCTCCTGACTGGAGCAGGTTGATTTCTGAATCCTGCACCGTGGCAACGTGCTCCTCAGAGTCATCGCGGGCCCCATCTCTTGTCCCTCTGCAAGGCACAATACACACTGAATATTTGGTTTCAAATGCATTTGACTCTTAAATGATAATGAAGGATTCAAACGGTCAAATTAGAGAAGTTTCCTGGTGCCGCAGGTTGAGCCGTGTTCAAAGTATCTCAGCGTTACATTTTAATATGGAGTTTACTCACACATTTTGCAGGTTTTTATCCCTTTTTCTTCTTTTCAAATGCATTACGTTGAACATTAATTATCACAATCGAATCAAACTTATTTTATTGTTAACTCCTCTTCCCCCCCAGGAATCATTTATTTGCATCAATTTTGAAACAAAGGCAATGACAGAATTCAACATGAAAACCGCTAAAGGAAGTTACAACATTATCGGGCCACGCGAATGCTTCAGCCTTTCTCACGTACTGGCTCACCTTCTGGAGCACGAAACTGGCTATTTCCCTTTTCTTATAATTGGTTAATTCACTTTTTACTAAAAACAAAGACATCCACTTCCCTAATCACGATTACTAGTAAAAGGGGCAGGAACATGTGTGCGGAGTTCCCCCAGGGTGCGACGTGTTGGAGAGCTCATCTATTGTGGCGTGCTGTTATTTTTTGAGAGCGTGGGACATGCACAGCAGGTGCAGGTGGGAATGGGTCATGGTGGGGACTCAACAATAAACAAATATTGTTGGGCAGAATAGACACATGGTGTCTTTTGAATATCCTTTGAGCCTTTCGTGCATTATCGATAATACAGAACCTAGTTATCTTCCTCAGGCCTACTTCCCACCTTTGAAAGTTCAAAGAGGTGAAACCAATATGGCAAGAAAGGCCCGACGCTCGGGTGCTTCAAGTTTGTGTTTTCCGTCCGTCCTACTCTAACACAAAATAACATGCACAGTTCATGTACTCTTCTTGGAGCTCTTGATTGATTTATCTATTAGGTACATATTACACTCACAGTGCTCCTGCAGGCGGTCGGTCTTGTTCGCCCTCCAGGGAGCCTGCTGTGGTCTGGGAGGTGGTGTCACTGTCGTAAACTCCATTCACTTCATCCTCCGTGATTATGTCAAAGACTCCATCGTCAGATCTGCTGCTGGGGTCCGAAACTGTGAGGAACAAAAGAAACTGTAGGACCACTACATATTCTCAAAGTATAGGCTTCTTGTGACACAATGTGCATGCCATGTATTCATGTATTGTAGAGGAAAAAAAACACTAAACTACTACATAAAGAGACCTATTGTAACTTTATTCAGAGTTCCTGTATTTCTACAATAAAAATAAAACAGGTTCTCCTTTGAACGGAAATGTCACCCTCTTCCCCTTTTGTCTGTTGACATAAAATCTGCAGCAAAAGTTTCTGTCCTTCTTCCCTAATAAGATGAATGCAATAGTTTCACTTCTGCTTAAAAGCTTCCACTTACCTCACAGTTCGTGGCGTGAGAACTACAGCAGCGGCCAGTCGAGTTAGCATGTCGTAGTTAGCGTGTGCGTTACTGTCCGGCTGGCCTCTCACCTGTTACACTGGGAGTGGGCTTATACGGGGCTGGTTCGTGGGGCGGCTGAGGTCCAGCTCCCGGCGGAGGGGGCTGCATGTCGGTGGGACTCAGCTCCGCCTGTGTGAACCTCTCCACCACTACGCTGTGTTGGGTGTAACACTCCCTGCAGCAGCGCTCCTTCTTCCCGCTGTGCTTGGTCATCACAAAGTTGTTGCTGCAGTAGTAGCAGAAGATGCGACCACAAAGCCTGGGAATTTAAAAGAGGAGAGGGGGGGGTCCGTCTATATTGATTCTGTCATTTGGTTAACAAAACATTTTGGACACCTTGCATTTTGAGAATTGATGCTGCAAGTGGTCTGACACTCTAACCGGGTTAGGTACAGGAGGTGTCGGGGAGCAGCAGTGTGCAGTAGCCCCCCAACCACCGCCCCGTGTCCACAGAAAGCCCACCTGCAGTGATGTCTGCGCAGCCACCAGGTAAACTGGCCCTGGCAGCCGAGGCACTGCGTGGTCTCCTTGTCCACTAACCACCAGCGTTCCTCTGCTCGTAGCTTCTGCTCAAACTCCAGGGCGTCTGACTTCTGCCAAAGAGCGTCTTTGTCCCTGCAAAAAAAAAAAAAAAGAAGAAGTATTTTAGTCATTCTGCGCAGACCCTTTCATATTAAAGATATAAATGCCTGTAAACTTTAAGCGACTTTTCGCTCTGTGTTGATTTGACGTTCTGAGTGGGACAGTCTGCCCTGCTCGGCCCTGGTTGCGGGTCTCACGTGCCTCCCGTCCCCTTCATCGACCCCAGCAATAAGCCGCGGGGCCCCCCACCCCACCGCCCCCCCTCCGCAGAGAGACGAAGGACAGCTGCTGCTGGAGGCGGAGCTTTCTTTCAGTTCAAGCACCGGGA